CCCTACTTCAACCCTCTTTGTGTTTTTTTCCTTTTTTTTAATACAGAAGATAATAGTACTTACTGTTTTGCAATCAGAAAAGGGATCCTTCATAATTTAACCAACCAGCTTGTGCAGCAAAAGCTGCACACTCCACCAATCCCCTACTTCAACCCTCTGCTCACAACCCCCCTTAACAGTGATGCTACATGCCGCTCTCCTGCCTCACCATCGATCCAACACGTGTAGACGAATAAAATTGCTGTTCGGCAGGGTTCCACCGCACACCCTACCAATGCCCTCTGTTTCAACCCTCTGCTCATAACCCCCATAACCTGTGACGCGTAAGTGCCACCCACCACCTGCACACTCCACAACTACCCTAGTTCCACCTTCTGCTCATAACACCCCTTAAATTCCTCTTTGGCAGGGTTCCAACGCAACCCCCACCACTGCCCTCAGCTTTAACCCTCTGCTCATAGCCCCCATAACCGGTGATGCTAAGTGTGACCCACCACCTGCACACTCCACAACTACCCGAGTTCAACCCTCTGCTCATAACACCCCCTACCCGTAATACTGCGTGCCACCCCCTCCAGCCTCACCGCCAAACCGAAAAGTGCAGAGAAAAATTGCTGCTTGGCAGGGTTCCACCGCAGTGGACGGCACACCCCACCACTGCCCTGCTTCATCCATCTGCTCATAGCGCCCATCACCTGTGATGCTGAGTGCCACCCACCAGCTACACACTCCACCACTACCCTACTTCACCCCTCTTCTCATGCCACCCCTTTACCTGTGATGCTGCCCTCCTGCGTCACCGGCGATCCACAAAGTGCACAGAAATTGCTGCTTGGCAGGCTGTCACCGCACACACCCCACCATCTCCCTGCTTCATCCTCCCCCCATCACCTGTCATGCTAAGTGCCACCCACCAGCTGCACACTCCACCATGACCCTATTTCACCCCTCTGCTCAGAGCGTCCCCCCAACCCCCTTTACCTGTGATGCTCCCCCCTTCTCCCCCCCCCCACCCCTCTTTACCTGTGATGCTACCTGCCACCTCACCCTCCATCCAAAACATGCAGAAAAATTGCTGTTTGCCAGCGGTTCCACTGCACAACCCCACTACAAGGAATCTTGCCGGTCCGATTAAGAAGTACTGATGAGGGTGCAGTTTTGTTTTTTTGTTTTTTTTGTTTTTTTTTAATGGAAAGCTCTGAAATTCACAAGGAGGGTGCGTTATGGTCGGAAAAAGACCGTAGCTGGGAATTTATAGATGCCACCAAGTGGGGCCTGCTAAGAACTGAGGTTGGCTAATTAAAAAAAAAATGGCCCGAGGGTACAGATTGGAACTACTATGTATCCCAACTACCCTCTTCCCTCGAACACAACGCACCTTCATTATGACTATGAATCATACTTGCGGCGCACCCGTGCGGTGCGGTGCTGTGCGCCAGATGGGGGTGCGCACGCACCAGTGCACACCGCGCATCCCAATGCGCACCTCGGTGACCTGCTCCAGGGTGCGCAGTGCACTGGAGCGCGCGCACCCCCGCGGCGTGTATACTGCACTGCACCCAGTGCGCGCTGCCTGCTTTTTTTTTTTTTTTTTACTGGTTTTGGTGCTGCTTTCCCGCCATTTTGACCTGCATCAGAACAACACAACACCGAAAGGAAGTCAGCCCCCCTTGAAACATCACTCCCTCTCAAAAACCCACCCTCCCCTCTTTCCTCTACCCCCTTGTCTCTTAGACGCAGCAAATTCGAGCGGGTATTTCCACATACGACAAAAAAAAATCAAATTCGAATTCAAATTCCCGACGAGGAGGGGGCGGAGGAGGAAGAGGGAGGAGGGAGGATAACGACAGAAAATTGGGAAAAACATGCAATTCGAATATGGAACAGGGAGGAGAACGATCGGATGAGGAAGGGTCAGCATCGTCGAACACCGGTAACGATGGAGGATGGTGAAGGAGAGAGGATGGAGGAATCACGGAAGGTGGAGGAGCGAAGATGAACGAATGGAGAAGGAGGGAGGAAGGAGAAGGAGGGAGGAAGGAGAAGGAGGGAGGAAGGAGAAGGAGGATAACGGGCGAAGTGAGAAAGGAGGAGGGAAGGATGGTGGATGGACGGAGGAACGAGGGAGGAGGAGGGATGGATGGTGGATGGAGAGGAGGAGGGAGAGACAGCAGATGGAGGGAGGAAGGAGGAAGGAGGGATGGCGGATGGAGGAAGGGAGGAGAAGGGAGGGATGGTAGAAGGAAGGAACAGGGAGGAGGGAGGGATGGTGGAAGGAGGGAGGAAGGAGGGGAGAAGGAGGGAGGAAGGAGGGGGGAAGGAGGATGGAGGGGTACGAGTATTTCAAATTTCAACGCTGCTGCGCAAAATGGATGCCGAAGTCCAAACAAATGGTAATAATAACAAATAAAAACAGAAAATAGAAAGTGAAGGGGGCAGAAGGAGGAGGGAAGGGGGAGGAATGGTGGTGCAGGGAGGATTGCAGAATGGCGGCGAGGGAGGGAGGAAGGAGGAGGGAGGGAGGAAGGAGGAAAGAGGATGGCAGAAGAAGAAGGGTGGACGGAGGATGATGGGATGACGGAGAGTGGGAGAAAGGAGGATGGATGATGACACATTACGCTGCTCGAAATGAATGATGAATCCCCAAACAAAAGAAAAAGAAGGGGGCTGGGGGCAGCGGTGTGGACGTAGGAGGGAACGGGGAGGGGGGAGGAGGGAGGAAGGCCGAAGGTATGGCGGAAGCAGGAGGAAGGTTTGGAGGAGGAGGTATCGCGGAAGGAGGAGGGAAGAAGGAAAAAGGAGATGGAAAATAGGTGGCGCGAGGAGAAGGGAGGTATGGCAGACGATGGAGGGAGGTGGGAGAAAGGAGGCGTGTGGAGGACGGAGGTACAGCCGAAGGTGGAGGGTAGAAGAAGGAGGGAGAGAGGTACGATGAAGGGACGAGGGAAGATGGAGTGAGTTGGGACGATGGAGGAAGGAAAGGGACGTCGATGAGGGAGGAAGGAGGTGAGAGAAATGTGGCACAGATTCAATGGATGGAGAATGGGCAATGGAGGGGTAGGAAGAGGTCGTGATGGCGGGAAGTCGAGGAGGGGGGAAGGAGGAATGGGAAATAGGTGAGAGAAAGATGGCGCAGATTCGAAGGAGAGCGGATGGACGATGGCGGGGAGTAACGTAGGAGGACGTCATCCTGATGGGAAGTCGAGGAGAGCGGAAGGAATTGAGAGAAAGGTGGTGCAGATACCAAGGGGGGAGGATGGATGATGGAGCTTGGATGGCCGGTGGAGGAGGCAGGTAGGAGGAGGGCGTGAAGGCGAGATGTAGAGAGAGAGGGAGAGTGAGAAAACGAGGAGGGGAGGGAGGGAGCGAGGGGAGCGAGGGAGAGGGGGGGGGGGGGGGGGGGGGGGGGGGGGAGGGGGAGGGGGAGGGGGAGAGAGAGAGAGAGAGAGAGAGAGAGAGAGGGGGGGGGGGGCAGGGAGGGAGGGCTGGTGGTCACCCACCTGCTCGGCTGTCCTCCTTCGCTCCAGCCGCTCCCGCTGCGTGACCGCGCTGCCTGCACAGTGAGTTCGCCGGCGATGGAGGAGGGGTGGAAGGATGCCGCCGGTCGGTAGCTGCACTTTCGACTGAGGGGCAAATGGCGGCAAACGGGGCAAATGGCGGCAAACGGAAAGCAACCCGTCTCGCCGCGCCAGAGTCCAAGTAATGCCAACACAGGGGACGCTCCATGACGTTTCGACTCGAATTCGAAGTTAGCTTCCTCTCCCCCCAAAATCTTTGTCGGGCCTTGGCGCGGCCGGCAATAAAAAAACGAAAAAAACAATAAACTACAGTGTTGCTACACTATACGGGCTCGCTGCGATAGAGGGCCTCGCACAGTGTTGCTACACTATACGGGCTCGCTGCGATACAGGGCCTCGCGCTCCGAATTTCGGACGAGGGAGAATCAAATGGAGTCGCCCAATGTGCTTTTATACATTGCAAAGAGCACTGTCATAGCAAGATGGATGGTTGAGAAAGGGCGAGACGCGATCACGCTGGGGTCCACTCGCTATGTCCTGGAGTTTAAACCTTGGTTGACTAAAGCCCAACTCAAGGAACAAAGAAGATCCGAGGAGGAAGCCACCTTTTGGGTGGTCGCTGTCCAAGTGCCGAGCGCCGATCGACGCCATGTTTTACCTCGAATCACACATTTGTCGAGCGATTGGACCGGTACTGCTTACTCAACCTGCGGAGCGGGACAGACTCAAACCTTGTTTGATCAATATAAAGTTTGATGTCGATCCGGCGGCAAGAGGAAACATGAAGGATAAAATATGGGTGGAAACCTTTGAGGGTGATGAATTGGAAGTGACGCTGGCCTGCTCATCCACTCCTCGGTGTAGGAGGTGCAGAGCCTTCTTCCACTCGGAGGATGAATGCAGGAGAGGAGCAAGACAGCAAGATCCGGCATCAGCTTCCAACGTACCTAACCAAGGACAAAGTCAAGGGCAGTTCAAGGGCAACAAGCGCCATCACAATCAAGGTACCACGGCCCACTAGGCCAGGGTACGGCAGCAGCTTTGCAGTCCAAATGCTTCAGTGAATCCACCGCCGCACAATTTGGCCTTCAATAATCCATTGTTCTCTGCTCAAGGGGCCAATGGACTAACTCAGCTTCAACAAATCCTATCGCACCTCGAGATGCAAAGCGTACTCAACGGAGGAGCCTCTGCTTTTGGGCCGTGGATGCCCCAGGTTACTCCGGCGGTAATGGGTGCCCCATCAAGGTTTTGCCCCCAATCAAGGCGTAGTAGTACAAGGAGAGGCTAGGCAGGAAGAGCAGTCAATGATGCAAGCGGGAGATCTGGGCCCCCGGGTGCTTTTGGGGGGGACTAGTGGAGCTTTCCAACCAAGAGGCCAGGGTCTTGAGGGGTCGTGTCTTCAGCAAGTGGAGGAGGGAACTTGCACACGCAGAATGCTCATTTGAACAGGGATGCAATATCAACCGAAGGTAGTGCGCTTGGATCTGCGAGAAAACCGAGTCTAGTGGGAAAACAACGAAGACTGAACGAAGAAGGAAGCTACGCCTCGGGGATGCATCCCCTAAGTGTCGAAGCATCGGCCTCGTTGAAAGGCTCTCAAGGGGATATCAGGGAAAGTGGCACACCAGGTACAAAAACGACGAGACGACGGGCCCCGGCCTCGCTAGCCCGAGGGCAAGCAGATAACATCGAGGTAACAGTGCTCCCCCACTTTGTAGTTCTTGCACACAACTCATGTTGGTTCACGACCTGGATGGGAGCGGATGGATCATTGAACCTCACTACCCTCCCCTCTCCGGACGTGCCGATGCCAGCCGTTCTGTCAGCAACCATTCGTCCCGCAATTCGGGGACAAATTCGTTTTTCGTTTGATCCCGGACTTGACCATGCCTCGTCTCTTGATGGACCACCCGATCAATCGAGGCACGAAGCTGAAGTTCTTCACCCACGTGGTAGATGTGAGATTAGCCCCTGGTCAATTGGAGTTGTTAGAGGCTGAGGGTCTTAAGTTGTGTCCGTTGTCTTGGTTGGTAGAAAACAAAAAACAAGAATTCCGCCGACTCTCGGTTGTACCGATGAACTCAACGGAATTCCTTGCTGATCTGAATGCTAAACTGCCGAAAGATAAACACCTTGCGTCAGTATTTATGAAGAAAACTCTCACCTCATCATGGTTTGTCGATGTTAATTCTCCTGCAAGAGTAAACCCGGTTCAGGTCCCCCATATCCAACAAAAGGCTTCCACGTTTGGTAATGCATAAGTTGAAATTTGCTACTTGGAACGTCGGAGATCTGTGCGATCAAACCGGTAGATTCAAAAGAAGTGGGCTCAAATCCTGAATTCACAATAGCAAATGCCAGATTGTCTGTCTTCAGGAAACCAAATTTAGTGAGGATAGGATCAACGGTCTTTGGAACTGGTGGGACGGCCCCCAACTGTGGTCGCCTGCACAAGGCACCAGAGGCGAGGTAGCTATCCTAATCCATAGATCTTTAGAGTTGGAAATCCTATATTATTACGCTGCTCTGTGGGGTAGGTGGGGATGGATCAAAGTTTTCATGGTCAACAAATCATGGGTCATTGTATCTGTGTATGCCAGTGCACCGGTAGAGATTAACGACAGAGCTTGTTTTATCGAGGAACTGTCCCTAATCATTCCGGAAGGGGATGTGCTCATCGTACCTGGAGATTGGAATATCTCATTGGATATTTCCAAGTCCAACTATGGTGGGCACACAGGTAAGGACAAGATCGCGCCGATGAATTTCATGAATGAGCTGAAACTCATTGACTCATATCGCCTGACTCATCTCGATCAGCCTGGGTACACTTTGACCTCTAACTTTCTACAGGGAGTAGGATATGTTAGCCGCAGGCTGAATTTTTTTTTATGCTCCTGGAATATATGGGAGCTGATCGAGAAGATCGAGGAAAAGTCTCACTATCTTTCGGATCACAAGCCGGTATGGTTGGTGATACACACACAGTCTGCGAGTAAAGGAAAAAGTTTATTTCGTTTCAACACCCAAAATTTGGAGGATAACGGTCTGGTCGAATGGATAAAAAATTTATGGACAGATTGGACTCGAACGAAATTTAACTACTACTCACTAGGGGAGTGGTGGGATGCAGGCATTAACCTTTTTTCGAACCTACTCAGTGTGTTCTCCCGAATCTTGGCGAGTGGTAGAAAGAAACAGGAGGAGGAGATTAAAAGTAAAATTGCTTATGCGGAACAACGCATGGAAGTGCATCTCGTTTCTGCGATTGTGTGGGGCAAGGAACGAGCTCGACTCCTGACGGAATGGGACGTCATGCAATTAAAACACTTTGAAATTTGGGCCGAAAGACTTCGGATTAAAGGAATGGCAGTTTATGATAGAATGACTAAAGAGTCATTTCAAAGATTGCTTCTGTCTCGAACCTCCCCGCCTATGAAGGAATTATGCCACCCCTTTGACGTCGATGCTCATAAAGCTAAGGAATTAACCAAACTGTGTGAACATGCTTCATTATACTACCGGGATATCCTTACTTCACGTACTCAGGGCGCCGATATTGACGATAGCCTGAATGCAGGTAACACTCACTGGGGCAATACGGTGGTTAGACTGTCGGGCACAGGCAAGCTCGATCTGGACCGTCCGGTTAACGAGACGGACGCATATGAGGCACTTAAATCGATGGCTAAGGGTAAAGCCCCAGGTTGTGATGGGCAACCAACAAAATTATTCCTATGTATCTGGAGGGAAGTAGGCTCTCACTTAGTTGAGTTGTATAACAATATATTATATGGGACCAACTTTCTGCTAATATGCGGAGAGGGGTTATTTCCTTGCTGTTGAAAAAAAAGACCGTTTTGAGGTTCGTAACGGGCGGCCGATATCTGTTTTTAACGTCTCTTATAAACTGTTGGCGAAAATCCTCGCTCGTCGTCTGGGCACATATCTGCCAGGTTTGATAGTGTCCCATCAGGCCGTTTTTATCAGAGGTCGTTCGATCTTTGATAATATTGTGACTGCGATCGAAACTCTTGAGCTTATCCATAATGAACAAAGCAACATTGCGGTCCTCCAATTGGACCTGGAGAAAGTGTATGACCGGGTCAACTGGTCCTACGTGGTGATTATGCTTAAATGGCTAGGCTTTGGAGAAAATATTATTCGTTGGGTAGTAGCCCTTTATTCTCTCTCCACAACATACGTGATGGTCAATCACAAACTCTCAAGGGAGTTCGTACTGACTCGTTCCCTGCGACAAGGCTGTCCACTTGCCCTGCTACTTTTTGCAATTCAGTTTGAGGTCGTACTGAATAACATCCGTTCTCATCCTCAAATCCATGGTATGTCAGTGGGTCCTACCCCGTACAAGGTTAAAGCATTAGCCGATGCCTTATTTGCAGTGTCATAAAATGCTCCTGAGTCTCTGCTGGCCCTTAAATCCTGCCTAGACGAGTTTGTCGACCTCCCTGAAGCCGGCATTAACTGGCACAAATCAGTTTTCTTCTTACCTAAAGAACACGATCTAGCGGTACAATGGGGCATTAAGCGTATCTCGAAGCAAGGCTCAAAACGCTTCTTAGGGGTACAAATCTCACTGGGTGAATGCTCCGAGTCCCATGATGATATTCTGCTACAGAAATGCATGCACCGACTGGCTACATGGGGAAAACCCCCTCATCTTTCCTTGTTTGGGCGTGTACTAGTCCTCAATGGGGCCTTGTTTGCACTTTTATGGTTCATAGGTACTGTCAGGGCATTTTGGCCTCACCTGTACGCACTAATTAAACGCCGAGCGGCAAGGTTTATTTGGAAACAATACTCCGATGAAGACGTTAATTTTATGTCCAAAGTTGTCTGGGAAATGTTGTGTTTACCTAGGGATGAAAGAGGACTCGGTATTTTAAATCCCAAAAAGCAAAACGAGGTGACCTTAGTGAGATGGGTTGTGCACGCCTGTCTGGAAAACCCAGTTCCACATTGGGTCTACCTGGCAGAGATAATTCTGGCTCAGGAATGACATTTATCCAGATATGAGGATGTGTGGACTTGTTTGTTGTTACACTTTTATCAACGAAGGATGATTAAATCTCCTTTCTGGTTTGTTATTATCCAGGCCTGGAGGAAACTCCGGCCAGATATCTGGGTTGAGCCGGTAACCAAGGCTGAGGTTCTAGCACAACCATTTTTTGAGAACCCTTATATTCGCTCACATGATGGAGAATGGTTAAAGGCAGATTCTGCCTCTTTCAGATTTGGTCGCTCCTGGATTGAAAAAAATGCGCTCAGCATCAGAGACCTCTAGGATGAATGGACATAACAG